TGAAATCTCTCTTTCAGCCAAGGTCAGATTCTTATCATTGTTTATAACTAAAAGCTTTTAACTGCTTCCCCACAACCACTCCTTTCCAGTTTTTTTTTTTTTTTTTTTAAGTAAAGTAACAGCATTTAATGGGAATGTGATGCCTCCTACCTGGGTAAGGAACCCAGGGTTAATGGCCTATTTAAGTGTGATTAGTTTTCACAATTGTCAGAGACATCATCAAAAAAGTTAAATTTTCTTCCTTCTCCTTTCCCATCAAAATTTGTGGGTATAACAATTTTTTTAAAATTTTTTATTTATTTTGTTGTTGAGAATATACACAGCAAAGCATATACCAGTCAACAGTTCCTACATGGACAATTTAATGACATTGATTACATTTTTTTGAGTTGTGCAACCATTGTCATCCTCCTCTTCTTAATTGTTTTGGTATTATTAACATAAATTCACTCCCCGTAAATTTCTATCTAATCTTGAGAATTACTGTTGTCAATTTGATCCCTTATATAGTTCTTAAAAGAGCATAATACTCAAGATAGACATTTCTTATGCATTAAGCTAAACTATTGATTGGTTTTAAGAAGACTTCAAGGGATATTTTTAATTGAAGACTTAAAGATTATCTCTGACACTAGTTTTGGGTTCATCAACCCTTCATGACTCCAGGAAATCTGGAGTCCATGAGAGTTTGAAATTCCATTCTACATTTTCCCTTTTTTGATCAGGATTCTTTCATACAGTCTTTGATCATAATGTTTTAGCAGGCAGGCACTATCTAGTTCTTCTTGTGGTGAAGGGGAGGCAGTTGTTCATGGAGATAATTAGCCACATGTTTCACATCCTCCTCGTTTTGACTCTCTTTCTTCCTTTGTTCTCCACGTGAATAGAGACCAATTGCTGTGTCTTGAATGGCTGTTTGCAAGCTTTTCATACTCCTGATACTGCATAACAAGCTGGGAGGTAGAACAGAAGCACTAACCATGTTACTAGGTCAACTAACTGGGATGTCCTATGAAACCATGACCCTAATTCTCCAACCTAACAAACTAAATCCCATGAGGTTTTTGTTATACATGAGCAACCTTAGCAAGTACTCTTTTTTTTTTTTTTTTGCCATTGTTGTAAATATATTAAATTTCACACTACATGGGTCGAACAATTTAAAATATCTGTGACTTATTAAAGGCAATTCATGTCATGTTCTCTTATGTTTAACCCACCTTTGGGGTTTGATAAGTGTTAACTTCCACCACACTTATACTTTATCTGTGTTAATTTATTCCTTCAGCCACCATATAATTGTGTTAGGTCTAAAGATTATTTAAACATAAGAGTGGCATATTAACAATGGCAAAATTGCAGGAAAGGTTGTGACTCCATTTTATACATGTCAGAACTGGGCAAGACTTTTTCTTTCCCATAAGCTTCCTGCCTTGTCTGAATGGAATCATCAGAAGTACTCTCTGTTAAGATACAATTATTGGTCTCTACTCCTCCAGAGGGAGCTCTGGTGGTGTAGTGCCTAAGGCATTTGACTGCTAACCAGAAGGGTGGCGGTTCAAACCCACCAGCCACTCCTCGGAAGGAAGATGTGGCAATCTACTTCCGTAGCGATACTGCCTGGGAAACTCAAGGAGAGGTCACTATGAGTCGTGTCCAACTCAACGGCACATAACAACAACAACAACTCCTCTAGAATAAGAGAGAAAGAAGAAAACCTAATACTTAAGAGGAAAAACTGGTCTACAAGATTAGCTGTCTATAAGGAACAACAGTCATATTTCCTTAGAACAGAAGAATTAGATGGTACTGGCTACCACTACCAGCTATTCTGATCAGGGTTACAATAGATGAATCTTGATAGAATAGGAGAAAAATGTGTCTCAGAACCTCGGATTTTTCAAAACAAAATAAAACCTCACAGACTTACTAGACTGATTGAGACTTGAGGACTCCCAGAGACTGTTGCCCTGAGATACTCTTTAAACTGAAATGAAATTACCCCAACCACCTTTTAGCTATATAACGTATTGGCTCACAAAACAAAGAGTGGCACCCATGAGTATTGTCCTTCTTTAAAAAATTATCTATATGAGACCAAAAGGTCAAGAATTAGTTAAAAAAGAAATAAGAAGAGAAGGCCAGGGGACAGGGAATTCAGATTATTGGAAACAGCTTCCATAACAGAAATAATGAGAATATTTATGCATTATGAACAATGTAACCAATGTCATAGTAACATTTGTGTAGAAATCGTTGAATAGGTACCTAATCTGCTGTGTAAACTTCCACGGAAAACACAATAAAATACTATTTTTTAAAAAAGGGAAGTGCTGAGGACTCCCAGTAAGATGGAGGAATAGGCAGACAATCTACACAGACCTTCTTCAACAAAGAAAAGAGAAACCAATTGACAGAGATACAAAAGATAATCCTGGAGCCCTGAGCTTTGAAAAGAAGTATACAGAAGTGGATTAGGTACCAACTAGTGAAAAACCTGAAGAAAAACAGTAAGTACAGAGACAATTGGAGCAGTGGACTGCCAGGTACTCTGATGGGACCAGCAGCCTGAATGTTTCCAGGTGCTGTTGGGACCTGAGAATTGACCAAAAGATCAGTCCTGGTCACTGAGGGCTGTGGTGACAAGTGTGCTGGTAGCCTATGACTAGGACAGGAAACAGCAAGGAGGGAGACAACCTGAGCTGTGGACTTTTGGCTGTCCAGAGGGCACAGCCACTTGAATGTTTACAAGCAGCATCTGCTTTTGGATTTTAAAGTGACAGCATTCTCATTCAGATTTCAGAGACCTAAGTATAGGCTCCTTTTGCCTTGGACAGCACAGACATAGGGAGAGACTGACAATGGGAAAGGAGACAGGTGGTGAATGTTTAAGTGCTGCCAACTAGCAAATAGAGGAGCACAGCAAAGTACCCTGCTTACATAGATAATATACAAATAAAACAAAAATTGTGGACAAGTCACTCCAACATAACAATCACCAATTAAATATAAACAAAAACATCACAATGCCTCAGAAACAACAGAGTATCACAGTCCACACAAAGAAGCAAGATAAAGCAGGAGAAACAAGGGAACAGGATACAGACCCAAAACAGAGCCTTGAGGAATAAGCAGCATTGGAACTCCCTGATAAGAAATTCAAAAGGGTTATATTTAGGTACCTTCAATAAATTGAGAGACAGATCAAGGAAGACACAGACAAAACTGTAGAACAGTTTTTGAAAGACAATACAAGAACAAAATGACAAAATAAATGAAAAATCAGAAATTATACAAAATCTACAGACAGAAATCTAGAAGATTAATACTAAACTTTCAGAAATAGATAACACATTGAATGGACAAAGAAAAGAATTGAATCCATGGAAGTGAGATTGAAGGGAAATACCTGAATACTTCTCTTTGGAAAGGGATCAATCAGAAAAAAGATAAAAACAAAATGAAGAAAGCCTAAGGTTCATGTGGGATACCATCAAAAGGAATAACCTATTCATGTAATCAGAATTCCAGAACAGGCAGAGACAAACAAAACCACAGAAAAAAATTGTCAAAGACGTGTTGGAAGATAATGTTCCTGGTATGATGAAAGATGAGAGTATATCCATTCAAGAAGTCCAACGGACCTTTCCTTGACCCTCTAAACAACAAACTAATACAATATTTGTCCTGTGATTGACTTATTTAACTCAGCATAATGTCCTCCCAGTTCATCCATGTTATGCAGTGTTTTGCAGACTCTACATTATTCTTTGTGCTGCATATCCATTGTGTATATGTACCATGGTTTGGTCATTCACTCTTCCATTGATGGGCATGTAGGTTGTTTCCATCTTTTTGCTATTGTAAATAGTGTTGAGATTAACATGACTGTCCATATATCTGCTCCTGTCCTGGTTCTCATCTCTCTAGGATATATACCTGGTAATGGGATAGCTGGGTCAAGTAGTCCAATTCCAGCTTTCTAAGGAATCGCCATAGTGCTTTCCTCGGTAATTGTATTACTTCACAGTTCCACCAGCAGTGTACAAGAGTCCCAATCTCTCCACATTCCCCCCAGCATTTGTTATTTTCTGTCTCCTTGAACCTTGCCATCAGTGTGCTGGGGTGAGATGGTATCTCATTGTTTTGATTTGCATCTCTGATGGCCAGTGATCGAGAGCATCTCTTCATTTATTTTCTGGCCACCTGACTATCCTTGCTGAAGTGTCTATTCATGTCTTCTGCCCAGTGAACATTTAAAAGTCTGCTTAAATTAACACATTCCAGGAATGTTTCAAAATATTTCTATTCAGCATACAGTGGTTGAATTGCCTGCTGAGTTTCACTTGAGGGCCCAAGGTTGCAGCAGTGTCCAAGAAGATAGGCAAATCCCTGTGGGGCTCCCAGTTTGCACAAAGCACCTTGTCTATTGGTGGGAGTGTGTCTCCCTATCTGTGCACCCACTATCCTTAAGATGAGTTTAGCAATCCCTCTTGCAGAAAACCACTCTGAGCCCTTTTCTTGTCCTTTTATTCTACCTGCTTTCTGTGGATGCACAGCAGCTCTGTGAAGGCAGAGATGATGCTCTGAGATATACTTATTTCTCCTCCTAGGACCCTCAAAATGTCTTCTGTATAACTGACAGTTCAGTAAATACTGAAAAACAAAATGGTTTTGTTTTCTTTTGTCTCATTTAGTGAGATTGCTTTTCACAACAGGTTTAAGACATGCCAGTTATTTGAGAAATCTTTTTTTTTTTTTTTTTTAAGATGCAGAACCTCTCAATATTTTATTTATTTATTTATTTTAGGTTATTTGCGGAAATGAATTTTTAAAATTTATTTGAGAAACCTTAAGTGCAAATTCATGGATATTGTAACCAAAGGGTATTGTGTGTTTAGTTTGTCTTGACATAGCAGTTCTTCATTTGAGTGTGCGCCTGAGGATCATGGCTACAGCTTGAGGTTTTATCAAGTGCTTCTGTTCCTTGTTCCTATCAGGCTTTGAACCTGGCCTATTCCAGCATTTATGGCAGTTACAGAAACTTTGTGGGTCCTTCTCATTTTAAAGTCATCTGTCGGCTGCTTGGCTACCAGGGCATTGCTGTGGTCATGGAGGAGCTGCTGAAGGTTGTCAAGAGCTTGGTATGTTTCCTGTAGTATGCTATGCTTCCTTCATATGGGCCTTGAGTTCATTGGGGTAGAATAATTTTGGGAAACCATAACAACATGTCTTGGCTAGAAGCAGGCTTCATGGTGTCTGGGGGCTGCAGCACTGGCTGTTGAGGCAGCTGGCAGGCAGTGGTGCACATTGTGGGAGCCGGCATATGGTGCTGCTGTTGCACTGAGGACCATCATAAGTGCAGGCTTGGTTGGTTTGGACATATGAGATACATAGTGAATGACCAGTCCCTGGGGCTAAGTGATACATACTTCAGACCAAGATCACAGAGTAGACACAGGCCCAGTCTTTGTGGAGTCTTGCTCATCACGGCCTTTTGAAAAAGGTGATGTCATTGAGGGTTACCTATAATGAATTTTCTTTTCTGTATTTATTTCTGCTGTTAAATAAGAGATTGCCCTTTTTTTTTTATTCTTAACTTTTTCTTTTTTAAAATTAATCTTTTTGTGACTGAGCCCATCTATTTTAAACATTCTTTATTGCCAAATAAAGATTTTCATGTCTTTCCCATGATTTACACACTGGCCAAGACAAAACCTGCGTGGCAATGTGAAGTGGGCCAAGACTGTATTAAAGTGAACTTACTTAAAGCAAAGACTCACAGAATTCTAAGTCATATAAGGCAAGATAAAAAAAAATATTTAGAACATAGATGGGTTTGGTTACTAGGCACAGCTAGTAACCCTATCACCCCTATAGGTTTTGCCAGGCCCCAGTAGGGAGCCTGCATCAGCACCCCTGGTAACTTGGAAGGTGGTAGGATGCATAGTCTTGTTGGATCTGAATACAAAGTAGCCTTGGCCAAACTTTGCAGAGGCCTTGAGTCCTTCAAAGGATGCAGAGCCTTCTGGGAGAGCTGTCTTCTTTTGACTGCCCAATGCAGACCTCTTCGCCACATACATTGGTCCTCCTAATTGCTCACCCATTAGCAGGAATGGGGTTTCTCAACTGCTGCATGACCCACAACCAGAAAGCCCTTACTCACTGTACCATGCCTCAGTCACAAAGTCTTGGCTAAGAAGTGGTAGGAAGGCCATGGTATGAGTGTAACACATACAGACACACCCACAGGTGGTGCCTATGGTGCTGGCATCCCAGTCAGACCTCTCTGTGTATGTACACCCAGATGTGCCCCCATGCCTGACAGGCCTGTTGTACGCGCTGTTCGCTCCTTAGAGTTGCACGTGGCTGTTGGGTGGCTGACATAGCAGTGCACCTGCCTAGGAGATGCATGAACATTCCAAGCCATCCTCACCTGATAGCACCCCTTAGGGCCTGTGCTTGGTAAAGGGTGTGTGTTTGGAATATGCATTTAGCTAGTATGTGGAGACATCTGTGGAGGTGCTTCCTTTCCCACAAGTGGGATTTAGCTCCCAGCCAAAGTGACACTGCAGTCCTGTCACTGTGCTGAAGTCAGCGTACACCAGCCACCACCTCCCAGGAAAAGTATGTGTGGCTGATGCAGCCCTGTCCTTCACAGCTTCAAGGCACAATCCTGCAGTATGTGAGGACTCTGATGGAGGTGATGCCCAAGATCTGCCGCCTTCCCCGACACGAGTACGGCTCTCCTGGTGAGAGGGTGTATGTGGGTGGTTGGCAGATGGTGGGTGGGCCCACTGCCGCCCAGAGGAATGAGGCACATTCCACATGTTTTTTGGACAGGAGGCAAAGCTGCCCCCGTTTTGACACAGTGAAAGAGAGTCAAGTCAGAAATTACTGGAGATGATTAGATTTGTTCTCCCTGGTGGGAAGGATAGGTATGTGGGAATTTTTGTTGGGGGCCTTACATTGAGGAACTGAGGGGTCAGCATGAAGTAATCAGGTACCATGAGGACTGATGGAACCTCCCCAGCCCCCAGTCTCTCCGAGAAAGTTCCCACCTGGAGGGGAGAAGGGAGCTGGACTGTGGGTTTAATCACTAATGTGTATGTGGCTACAGCTCAAGACAGCCTATGGAATGGGGATGGCCATCCTCTCTCCATTTTCCCCAATGCCCTTTTTGTTCTCCTTCTCCTTTTCCTTTTCTTCCCCATTTTCCTTTCCTTTTTCTTTCTCTTTCTTCCCCTTTCCCTCCTCTTTCCAATCCATTTCCCTTTCCTCCCCCCCCCTTCTTTTCTGTCTCTTCCTCCTCTCCTTTTCCCCCTCTATTTTCTTATCTCCTCCCTCAGCTTCAGAACCAGCTTGTCTATTTCCACCCTTCAAAAAAACTTCCTTGTGGTTGTTGATTGGCTTAGCACAGAATCCAGAGATTGATTTGGGGAATACTAGCTCTCTCTTGTGTTTTCTCATGTCTGCTACATTGTACAGACATCTGGACAGCGGTGTGCTTGTCTTCCTCTGGGCCTGGAGAGAATGTGGGCAGATGCCACCATTGAGCATGATGTTAGCTGTCCTTTTTTTGTAGATGCCCTTTATCAAATTACATAGTTTCTTTCTGTGCCTGTGAGTGGTTACATTTATCAAATAGCTTTTCTGCCTCTGCTGGATGACCAAGTGTGCTTTCTACCTTATTCTTTACTGTGGTGACATCACTGTCTATACAGCCTCCTTTGAAGGACTAGGCTGACAGGCCCAATTGCTCTCCTCACTCCCCACCCCCCAGGCTGTGTGGATCTTTAGAGGGTCTGCTTAGGTGGTGGACAGATCACCAGTGTGGAAAGGTGTTGCAATAGCGTGTGTGTGGCCATCTCTGTAGCAGTGGGCTGTGGCAGTGCAGAGGGTATTGTGTGGCTCCCAGTTCTGCATCCTCAGGGCTCTGCCTCCTTCAGCCTCTTTGACCACACCTCTTGTTCTTTGCCCACAGGCATCCTTGAGTTCTTCCACCACCAGCTGAAGGACATTGTGGAGTATGCAGAGCTGAAAACGGTGTGCTTCCAGAACCTGCGGGAAGTGGGCAATGCTGTCCTTTTCTGCCTGCTCATTGAGCAGAGCCTGGTGAGCCACGGCCATGGGAATAGTAGTTTTGCTAGAGGCTTGATTTGTGTGAAGTTATTTAGTGGGGAGTGGAGAGCAGTGGTATAAAGCACTGTTCTTTTTAGACTTTAATTTGAACTTGTTTCCTGCAATTGGAAAAAATATATATATATGTGTATATATACAGTTTATTATTTCCAGAATGTTTTTCTATGTGAGTACTGTAAAAATATTTTGTTATGTAGTATTTGCTCCATCCAAGCTAACTTAGGTGACATACATGGCTGTTATTGTATTTTACTGTCCAGGAGAGCTGTCTGCAGTGATGGAAATAGTCTATATCTGTGTGTTAACACACTTAAAGCATGACTTAATGTGACTGACAAACTAAGTTTCAAATTTTATTGAATTTTAATTACTTTACATGTAAATAGCTACATGTGCCTTAATACCATAGTGGACTGCACAGTAAGGGGGAACACCTGGAAACCAGCCCCAGCTTTTGAATGCCATAGGGGAACACCTTGCTTTCACAAGCTGACTGGGCATTTCCACTTGGTGTCATTTGGCCTGATGGTTTGCCCCCAATGTTTTATTTCAACTGAAAGTTTGTCAACTTGACCCTTTTGAACTGGAATCCCTAGTGAACATGAAATGGTATCCCATTCTTAATGAGGTAGAAATCTTCATTTGCTGATTTTCTCTTCCTGTGTCCTTTAAATGTCGAATGCTCACTTGTGTCTTTTGCTTATCTTTCATAGCTTGTTTACAGTTCTTTGTATATTCTATGTACTAATCCTTTAAGTAGGAACTCTGGTGGCATAGTGCCTAAAGCACTATAACTGTTAACCAGAAGGCTGGCGGTTCAAACACACCTGCCACTCTGCAGAAAGAAAACAGGGCAATCTACTTCCATAAAAAGTTGGAATTGGCTCAATGGCAGTGAATTTTTAAGTTAGAAACCCAAAAGGGAAGAACACACTTGGCATTTCTCAAGCTCAAAGAACTGAAGAAAAAAATCAAACCTCAAGTTGCAGTGTTAAAAGATTATATGGGCAGAATATTGAATGATGCAGGAAACATCAAAAGAAGATGAAAGGAATACACAGAATCACTGTACCAAAAAGAATTGGTTGATGTTCATCCATTTCAGGAGGTGGCATACTGTCAAGAGCTGATGGTACTAAAGGAAGAAGTTGAAGCTGTACTGAAGGAACTGGCAAAAACAGGGCTTCAGGAATTGACATACTCATTGAGATGTTTCAAAAAAATGGATGCCATGCTAGAGATACTTACTCATTAATTATCTATGCCAAGGGATTTGGAAGAGAGCTACCTGGCCAACTGACTGGAAGAGATCCATACTTGTACCCATTCCAAAGAAAGGTGATCCAACAGAATGTGGAAATTATCCAGTAATATCATTAATATCACACACAAGTAAAGTCTTGCTGAAGATAATTAAAAAGTGGTTGTAGGATGCAAAAGCATTCACTTGTGTGGATCATAACAAATTATGGATAACACTGAGAAGAATGGGAATTCCAGAACACTTAATTGTGCTCATGAGGAACCGATACATAGGAGGCTGTCGTTCAAACAGAACAAGGGGATAGTGCATGGTTTAAAATCAGGAAGGAAGTATGTCAGGGTGTACCCTTTCACCATACTTACTCAATCTGTATGCTGAGCAAATAATCTGAGAAGCTGGACTATATGAAGAACGTGGCAGCAGGACTGGAGGAAGGCTGATCAACAGCCTGCAATGTGCAGATGACACAACCCTGCTTGCTGAAAGTGAAGATGACTTGAAGCACTTGCTGATGAAGATTAAAGACTACCGGCTTCAGTATGGATGACACCTCAACATAAAGAAAACAAAAATCCTCACAACTAGACCAATAAACAGCATCACAATAAATGGAAAGCAGATTGAAGTTGTCAAAGATTTCATATTACTTGGTTCCACAATCAGCACCATTGGAAGCAGCAATCATTGGGCAAAACTGCTGCAAAAGATGTCTTTAAAGTGCTGAAGAGTGAAGATGTCTCCTTGAAGAATAAGGTGTGCCTAACCTAAGCCATAGTGTTTTCAGTTGCCTCATATGCACACGAAGCTGGACAGTGAAGTTGTAGTGTTGGCGAAGAATACGGAAAGTACCATAGACTGCCAGAAGAACTAACAAATCTGTCCTGGAAGAAGTGCAGCTGGAATGTTCCTTGGAAGTCAGAATGGCCAGACTTTGTCTGACCTACTTTAGTCATGTTGTCAGAAGGGACCATTCTCTGGAGAAGGATATGCTTGGTAAAGTGGAGGGTCAGTGAAAAAGAGGAAGGCCTTCAAGGAGATGCATTGACATAGTGGCTGCAACAATATGCTCAGGTATAGCAAGGATTGTGATACTGGCACAAGACCGGGCAGTGTTTCATTCTGTGGTACATAGGGTTGCTATGAGTTGGAGCTGATTCCATAGCACCTAACAACAACAAATCCTATATGTGTTATATGCTCAGATCTTGGGTATTGCAGATACCTAAGATATAAGCTTTGTTTGTGGATTGACTTCTCATTCTCACATGGTGATTTTTGAAGAACAGATGTTCTTAATTCAGTCTTACTCTTTTAATAATGGCTGAAGAATTTCTTCTCTACATTAAGGTCCATAAAGATTTTCTTTCATATTTTCTTAAAAAGATTTTAAGTTTTACTTTTCACATTTACGTTTACAATCCTTCTGGAATTGATTAACCAAGCCAAAACCAAACTTGCTGCCATTGAGTCAGATCCAACTCATAGTGACCCCTCCTTGGGTTTCTGAGGTGGTATCAGTACAGAAGTAGATTGTCCAACCTTTCTTCCAAGGAGCGGCTAGTGGGTTTGAACTTCCAGCCGTCTGCTTTGCAGTCCAGTGCCTTAGGCACTACACCACCAGAGTTCCTCTGGAATTGATTGGTGTGTACAATTTAGATATGGGCACAACTCCATTTTTGTAATGATAAGATTATCAGCTGGGCCTCTTTCACTTGCTGGAGAGCTCCTCCTTTCCCTGCTGTCTGCAGGAATCTCCTGACACACTGGTCTGTCTCTGGGTTTTCTGTTCCATTTCATAGGTCACTGTCATGGGGGTAGGAGTGTGTTATCTTTACATTGGTCTGATACCTAACGAGGCATATCCCCCCACCTCACTTTTCTTTAAGAGTATGTTAGCTCTTTGTGGATCTTCACTCTGGCTTACAAGTTTTAAAATTCACTTGTCAAATTTATTGATAAAGTATTTTGGCCTTTTAGGAACTGTGTTGCATCTCTAGACCTATCTGGGGAGGTCTTCATGGTAGGGCTGATTCTCATGGTAGTCTCTTGATCTTGGTGTCTTGCCCAGTGCCCTGGCAACTTTATAGAGGCTAGGTTGGGTTTTCGAAGGACAGAGGCCAGGGTACCCTGTCATCGGTTCAGGATGTGGGAACCAAGCTGACAGTGCATTCAGGGCTAAGATGCTAGGCCGGTATCACAAATCAGTGCTTATAGGTCAGAGAAGTCCAGAGTCAGACATGGACATGTGCAGGAGTGGACAGCCTCTTGTCAGGACCTGCATCTTCCCTCTCTGTATGCTGCACTTTTAGCAGGCCTTTTCCATGTGGGGGCAAGAGAGAGTCCAGCATCCCTGAGCCTTTCTTGTACGTACCACTCTTGGACTCAGCATGGATACAGGTCTCTTCCCTCATCCAAAGAAGCCTGAGTGACCAACCTTTCACACATACCTCCCATGGCCACTCCCTATCACAGCAGGGGTGATGAGCACAGGATGAGAGCCCACTAGTCCCAGGGGTATGGCAGGGCAGCTCCCAAAGGAGCAGGTAGGTGCTGACCCCAGTGAACAGCAGATGTGCAGGGAAGCTGGATTCTGAGAAGATGTTAGGGCAGCCTGAATTTTTTAAACTAAACCAGTGTGAGTTTTTTAAGGACCTCTCTTAATAAATTTTAAATGTTTAATTTAGGAAAATGTTCTTGGGGGTTCAGTGAATTACTTGGTATGGCTTTTGCAGCCATAGTCTATAACTTCCACCTGATTATTAGGGTTATTATTATTAGATTATTATGCAAATAAAGTATGTAGAACTCTGATGTTGGGCTTGGTTAATTTTGTCACTCTGCCAGACTTAAAATGAGCCCTATTGGAGGCAGAGAGGGGATCTCAGTGCCAGCAAGAGAGAAAAGCTGCAGGTGAAGTGAAGCCCGTCCTTGGACCCAAGATCCCTTTGCTGGACTTCCTTGGCAGAGACACCTGGCAGAGAAAGATGCCTGGCAGAGAGAAACACCCAGCAGAGAGATGGTGGCAGTGGAACCAAGAGACATGAGACAGACAAGTGAGCTTACCTGGCTCACAGAGCAAGAAAGCTGAGTGCCCTTGGGCAAGAGGTTTGCCGATGGAATGTGTGCATCTAGGTGTACTTATTGGCAGAGCTAAAAGAGCTTTGTAGCATTTGCCTGAGCAGGGCAGAGGCCATGGTGAGTGGCCAAGGTCCAGAGAGGTGTGTGTGAGGGCATAGCAGAGGGGAGACTGTCCTGATCAAAGAACTGTATCCTGAGTGTGTTCCTGAACCTGAATTGTGGCCTGTTTTTTCCCTAATAGACCCCCATAATCATGAGTATTATCTGTGAATTGTATATAGCCATTGTAACAAATTACCAGACCTTACCAGACCCAGAAGAGAAGTAGTGAGTGTCATGGGAGGGACGGTTGGTGTCAGAATTAGTAAAAAGGTTGGAGGATGGCTGGCGGTATGTCTGGCCTTATAGGAATTAGCTTTGGGCTGCTCCTGATGATTCTGTCTTTCTCTTGTAAAGTTAGAGTAGGTCAGAAGATGCCACCTCCATGACCTTTTCACAGTCCTTTTTGTGCACCTTTTCTGAACACACAGCACAAAGTGAGAAAAGTTCTCCTCTCTTTGTGTCCACCCTCGTGGTAGCTCCCCAGCATTCACTTCCCTGACAGTTTCACAACAGTCAGGGCAGCTAGTATGCATTTCCTGGGGGCCCAGCCTAAAGAGACTGGCTGAGGGACTCTCCTGAGGGGTACTCCTTGAATTAATGGAAGGAAATGAAGCTTTTCTTCAACTACGAAATAGAAACTCTCCAGGAGGTTTGTGCAGACATGAAGTATTGCCTGAGCATTTTAACTGTTAGCACCGACTATGGATTCCATTAGAAACTTAGGAAAAGAGACATCTGTGATGAATGTGGTCCTTGCCTGCTCAGATTGTGTTTCTCCATGACAATTGATGCCTTAGGCTTAGAAGGGTCACCTTGGGTCTCAGGAAATCAGGTGAGTCCTTACATTTCAAATATCACTCCCAGTGTCCCCTCCTTTCTCTGGACCACTACCACAACCAGAGCCTATGTGAGTCTCAGTCTAGACTGAGGTTGTCTCCCCTGCATTGCCGGGCATGTGGGAAACAGGGTACAACTATCTGTCAGTTGATCTCAAGTACACTTGCAGACTTAGCTTCTGAGCAAGTAGGCCCCACTTTCTCTTTCATTCTAAATCCTGAGCTGTCCTGCCTGCCCTTCTTCCCTGCTCCCCTGTCTCATTCCCTCACCCCTTCTCCCTGTCCTTTCTTCCCACATTGGACAGTTGGAGAGAAGTTAGGCTGTCTGAATGGAGTACTTCACCCAAAGTCCACCCATAGACTTCAATTTTCTGGTGTTGCTTTTATCCTTTTAAAAATGAAGGATTATGGTTTCCAGTAAGTCCTCGAGAATGGGAATCCCCCTTGTGGGTAACCTTCACCTTGACAACAGTGGTAATGCTTTCCTCCTAACCAAATACCACACAATGGCAGGTGTGATGGCACCTGTGTCTCCTCTGATCAGTGAAAATATTAGGGTAAATGTGTCATTCCCTTGTTATGTTCTGAGAAGAGTGGGGTAGCTGGTTCTGGCTGCAGAAGCACATTGTTGGCAGCCTGAAGCTCCTGGGAACAAAGGTCGAGTGATGAGTTGTCAGGTCCTGAGGGACCCAGTGTTGTTTGTTTCTTTCTTTTTTTTTTTTTTTTTTTTTTAATTTTTATCATGATTTGGGTGAAAGGTTACAGAATAAATTCATTTTCGATATGGCAGTTCACATACACTTTGTCTCATGACATTTGATTGCAATTTCCCATAATGAAACAGCTCCCCTCCCACTTCCTCCCCATGTGTCTTTCCCTCCTATGCACTCCTGCACCCCAAGCTGTCTCCCTGTGATACACAGCCTTTCTATTCTCCCATTATTGATCTCTCCAAAGAGTGTATCTAGCTCATGTAAATGTTCAGCTCATATGCCTGTCTTTTGTTTGGCTGGAAGCCACAGGAGTGGGTTCAATTCCAGACCTGAAGGGCAGCTAGTGGCCTTAGTCTCAGGGGTTCCACCAGGCTCTATCAGACCAGCAAACCTGGTGGGACCCAGTATTTTGAGAACTCAAGCTTTTCTCCCTAATGGTCATTTCTTTAACTGATTCTGTTACCATCATGTTATAAGATGATTTCAGGAAATTTTTATTCATCTGCAAAATCTGGGGATATAGAGTGGAGAGCATCTTCTGCCTGTCCCTGTAGTGGGGAGGCTCTTTGTGAGCGTTCTAGAGCCTCTGTCTCTACAATATTTGCCCTCTTCTTTGGTTTCCTGGTGGGTTTTAGGAGTTTTGCAACTCCTATGACATTGGAAGAGAGCCCTGGTGGCATAGTGGTTAAAGTGCTTAGCTGCTAACCAAAAGTCAACAGTTCAAACCGACTAGCTACCCTGTGGGAGAAAGATGTGACAGTCTGCCTTCCATAAGGATTCCAGCCTCAGAAACCACATGAGGCAGTTCTGCTCTGTCCTAAGGGGTCACTATGAGTTGTAATCCCCTGATGGCAGTGGGTTTTATGAGTTGGAATTGACTTGATGGCAGTGGGTAACACTGAGGTGCGCTTTTGCTTAAAATATGTGTTTTTCTAGAGAAAGGACTTTGTGTAGGATTTTTTATTACCTCTTCAAAGGAATTTATGATCGAAAAAATAGTTCAGAATGACAGGCTCTCCAGGGAGGAGTGGAAGTACAGGTTGTACTCATGCTTCCCCTTTCTTTCTGTCTTCAGAGGTGTTTGCAGAAGAAACCTCCTTCTTCTGTTGGTGATGTCTTATTAAAGCAGTGGTTTCTATGAGTGGAGCAAATTAGCTGGAGAAGGGTTGGAAGAGGGCTGCCAAACATAAATCATGGAGAAGAGAGAAGAAACAATGCCTGCTTTTACCTATGTGTTTTTATAATTAAATGACACACTATAATTAGGAATAAATACTTACAGTTAGGAACAAATAAAATTTAAAATTCAGTTCCTTGGACACACTAACCACATTTCAAATGCTCAGTAGCCACATAAGACTCATGGTCACGATATTGGACAGTGCAGACATAGAACAATCCATCTTGCAGAGTTCTCTTGGATAGTGCTAACTAGAGTATTTATTTTACACTAAATAATAAAGATGTAAGTTATATTCATGACCATATTTCTCTGTCCATTTTTGCTATGAGAATAAACTTCCTAATGTGACCTTCTCTGTGTTACAGTCTTTAGAAGAAGTATGTGACCTGTTGCATGCTGCCCCTTTCCAGAATATCTTGCCCAGAGTCCACGTGAAAGGTGAGTGTGTTCTACATTGTTCAAAAAACTTCACTGTCCATTGTAACAGTGGCTCACAGTCAGTGTGGCCATGCCAGAGGCAATGGGGGGTTTGTTTTGTATATTTTTACCTGTTTAATCAGTACCAGGGATAACTGGGTGAAGGGTATGTAATCTGGTTCAATAAACAGTGAATATACAAAGCTGAAATGATAAGAATATTTGGAATTTCCTTCAAAATAATATGGTGGCAAAGGGATATGGAGGATACAGTAAATCAGTCCTTGGATTAAGAACATTGGACTGACATGCAACTTGTGCTTAAGCATGGACTGCCATAAAGCTTATTATATTAAAAATCTGAGTTAAATTCAGTGGTTCATAATAACGCACGCACTACTTGTGATCCTCATGAAAACATTGCATGGCTTCAGTGGTTCATAGTATCGAAGAAGGAGAATGCCATCTGCCTTTTAAAGTCAGATTATGTTGCCTTTAACACTGTATAGAGTGTGTAACTTTGTATTTGGCTTAAATTTTCCTCTTATTTACCCTATAATCATGCCTCCAAAGCATAAATCCAATGCGAGTGCTGGTGATGCATCAAAGAACAGGAAAACAATCATAGTTGAAAATAAAGTGGAAATAATAAAACAACCAGAAAGAGGTGAAGTGCGACTGATCATTAGAAAAATGTTAGGCTACAGTCAGTCAATGATTGGACCAATTTTAAAGGATAAAATTAAGAATAATTGACTATATGGAAGGCTCTGTCCAGATAAAAGCTACAGTTACTACTAAGCAATGCAGTGGTTTAATTATTGAAATGGAAAGGCTAATGATAATTTGATTGTTGTTGTTATGTGCCGTCGAGTCAGCCCCAACTCATAGCAACCCCTCCTTGGGTTTCCGAGGCAGTATCACTACAGAAGTAGGATTGCCCAACCTTCCTTCTGAGGAGTGGCTCCAGCCTTCTGGTTAGCAGTCAAGTGCTTTAGCCATTATTTGATTAGATGAGCAAAATCAGCATAATACGCCTTTTAGCCTTACTTTAGTGCAGGAAAAGGCTTGAAACCTTTTCAGCTGCATGTGTAGCAAGTGAAGGTGACTGTGAAGAAGAATTTGTTGTAAGTAGGGTTTGGTTCACTTGTTTTAAAGTGAAGGCAGATTTACATAATATTAAAATGCAAGGTGTAGCAGTGAATGCTGATGTAAGTACCATGAGTAATTTTCCTGAACTTTTGAAAAAAAAATTATTGAGTAGGGAGACCAAATATGTAATGTAGTTAAGACTGGCTTATTTGTTTGGGGGGTGGGGGATGCTTTAAAGGACTTACATTTCAAAAGAGGAAGAAAATGCACCAGGGTGTAAGACATAGCAGAATAGGCTGACATTATTGCTGCGGGGTAACACATCTGAGAATTTCAAGCAGACGCCTTCGTCTAAATTTACTAAATTCAAGGGCATTTTGCCATATCATTAAGGCATGTCTTTCTTTTATTTAGAAGGCAAATGCAAAGGCTTGGATTACAGTTGCCATCTTTGAATACTGGTTCTTGAACCATTTTCTCCCTACTGTTGAACATTATTGCTTGGTCAAGAAAATTCCTTTCAAGATTCCTCTTGAGCTTGACAACACACCTGGATATCCCAGTGCTTACAACCTTTACTTCAATGTGAAGGTTGTACTTTTACATATTAAAAATTTGAGTTAAATTCAGTGGCCCATAATAGCGCATGAACTACTTGTGACCCTTAAGAAAACATTGCATGGCTTCAGCCAATGGATCAGGGAGTCTTAATCCCCTTTAAGGCCTAGTATTTACAACAAACCTTCTCACAAGCAATCAGAGCTACCCAAGATGATGGGATAAGCTTAAGGACTTCTGGAGGAATTATAATCTTTCTGATGCCATCAAAAAATTGCTGATTCTTAGGATAAAGTGAAGCAGTAAGACATGAAAGGAGTGTGGAACAAATTGTGCTGCCAATTTGTGCATGATTTTCAGGGGTTTACAATTGACAACATTGCCGAAGCCAGGCAAGCTGTGGTTGATACTGGTAATCAGCTGCATTTAGACATCAATGAAAATGGTGTTATAGCGTTACCTGATTCCCATACCAAAGAACTAATAGACCTGGAGCAGCAGATGATAGCATTTGAGGAATGTTGTTGTTATGTACCCTTGAGTCGCCTCTGACTCATAAGACCCCTCCTTGGGTTTCCAAGGCAGTATCACTAAGGAAGTAGATTGCCCAACCTTCCTTCTGAGGAGTGGCTGGTGGGTTTGAACTGCCAGCCTTCTGGTTAGCAGTCAAATGCCTTAGGCACTACTCTATCAGAGCTCCCATAGACATAATGCAAGCGTCATCCAGATTCCAACAGCATTGTTTACTGAAAGGAAAAGCTAATCACCAACTTTATAGAGACAAGAAAGAGGCCCTAAATAGCCAAAGCAATATTGGAGAGGAAGAGTAAAGTAGGGGCACTCTGATCTGAAAACATACTCTACAGCACCAGTCATCAAAATGGCCTGACCAGTTAGTTCAACGAGAGACACATAGACCAGTGGAGTAAATTGAGAACTCAGGAACAAATCCATCCATCTCTGGACAACTGATTTTTGACATAGGATCAAAGCCGATTCAGTGGGAATGAAAAGATGCTCTTTAACAAATGATGGTGGCAAAAATAGAAGATACATATTTGCAAATAAATGAAACAGGATCCATACCTCACAAAAACCATACCATATATTTATGTATACATACCATATACAAAAACTAACTCAAAATGGATCAAGGACCTAAATGTTAAATGTAAAAGTATAAAATTCAAAAAGATTATCAAATACAATTACAAATATACAATAGCAGAAGACAAATTAGATAACTGAGACCTCATAAAAATGAAATACTTTAATGCTTATGAAAAGAGTAAAAATATAAACCTACATACTGGGGAAAAAACCTTCAGGGATGACATATCCAGTAAGGGTCTAATCTCTAAAATACATAGAAAACTTCAACAACAAAGAGATAAACAATGCAAAAAAATGGGCAAAGGACATGAACAGATAGTTCACCTAAGAGGACATTCAAGTGGCCAACAAATATGTGAAAAGATGCTCATACTCATTGGCCATTAAAAAATGCAAATTAAAACTACCCTTTTGCACATACAGTACTGCATTGTCAGTGAAGGCAAACATGGATATATGGGTGGATAGATGGGTGGACAGGCTGAACTAGTAGGTATGTCTGTGAAGTGAGAAGTGTATGCAAGACCAGGTACAGGGTTGGCGGACAGTGGTCCTATAAGTTTATGTGAATGATCAGAATTCCCAGGTGTATAGTAGAGCTGACAAGGGGCAAGGTTGTAGTCACTTCCTGGTCACAGCCAGCTACCCAGAGGGACTGAATAGTTGAACCTGTGGGCTTTGGACTATAGTCACAGGGACATCAAGCTCAATTGGCATAACATACTACACAAAACACTGTTCCACCTCCTACTTTGGCAAGTAGCGACTGGGACCTTAAAAGCTTGCAAGCTGCCATCTAGATGCAATGATGGGTCTCTCCTCGTCCAGAGCAAAGAAGAATGAAGAAAACCAAAATTCATGGAAAAAATTAATCCTAGCGACTGGTACACCATCCAATCTGAGGCCTATACGACTATGAGACCAGAAGAACTAGATTCTGGTGCCCGGCTACCACTGTCAACCACTTGCAAGGGGATCTGTTTAGGAGATCCTGGATAGAGAGGGAGAACAATGTAGAGCAAAACTCACATTCATTTGGAGGAAAAAAAAAGGGGAGGGGGAGCAGGTTTTCTGATCTGATAGAGCCTGGTGGAACCACTGAGACTATGGCCCCTAGCTGCCCTTTAGGTCTGGAATTGATCCCGCACCTTTGGCTTCCAGCCCAATAAAAGACAGGCATATGAGTCGAACATTTACCTGAGGTACATATACTCCTTGGAGAGAACAGCCATGGGAGAAAGAAGGGCTGCTTATGCACAGGGAGACAGCTCTGGGGGCTGGAGTGCATGGAAGGATGGACACAGGGAAGAGGTAACTATGAGGAGGAAGTGGGAGGGGAGCTGTTGCATTGTGGTAAATGTCATGATACAAAGTACATGTGAACTGCTGTATGGAAAGTGAATTTGCTCTGTAAATTTTCACCCAAATCACAATCATTAAAAAAAAAAAAAAACCTACAGCGAGATAGCTTGTCACTCTTACTAAAAAGGCAGTGATTTAAGAAAAGAAAAAAAGAAAGCTAGTGAGGATGTGGGGAGATTGGAACCATTCTGTGCTGGTGGGATTGTAAAATGTAAAACCACTTTAGAAAACAGAATGATCCTTCCTTAAAGAACTGAAAATAGAAAGCATCAAAACATCAAAATAGAAAACATCAAAACAGAAAATATAAGGTTATAATCTAGCAGTCCCACGCCTGGGTATAGATCCCAGAGATTTAATTAAAAAAAACATGGACAGACATGTGCCTACCTATGTTCATATGCCCACCTGTGTTCATTGCAGCACTATTCACAATAGCAAAATGATGTCAACAACCTAAGTGCCCACCAACAGATGAATAATGGATAAACAAAATTGGTACATACACTAAAGGAATATTATGCAGCCATAAAGAATAATGATGATTTATTGAAACATAATGTGGGTGAATCTGGAGGACATTACATTGAGTGAAATAAGTCAGTCACAAAAGGACAAATGTTGTATGATTGCATTTTTGTAAGAAGATAAGGAGATTACACACACATACGCACATTCATTATTTAAACATTTATTGGTGGTTACCAGGGATGGTCGGGGATAAATAGAGAATGGACCTCTGGATAGTTGTTGTTAGGTGCCTTGTAGTTGGTTCCAACTCACAGCGACTCATAGTGATTCATAGTCAACAAAATACTGCCCAGTCCTGCCCCATCCTCACAAGTATTGCCATGCTCGAGCTCTTCATTGCAACTACTGTATCAATCCATCTCATG